TCTCTCTCTCTCTCTCTCTCTCTCTCTCTCTCTCTCTCTCTCTCTCTCTCTCTCTCTCTCCCTCGTTTTTTCGTTTCTTTCCGCTTCTTTTCCCGTTCGAGGACTGCTTCCAATGATCCTCCATCGTTTTCATGGCACCAAAGTACGACAACACACACGCGGAAGACTCTGTCAGACGGGTAGTACTTGCAGTACAGTATAATAACTCGGGAAAGATTCGAGAGATTTGCGTAAGAAACATAAAACTATATAACAGGCACCTGTAGAAGAACCAGTCCTCCAAATCTCTATCAGACTCGCGCGAAGCCTCGTTTGGAGAAACGCTTTAAAGCACTTGTCCTGCAAACAGATACCGCAATACTGGCCTCCGATCGCCGTTTTACCGTACCACAATGCTCGCTCTTAAGCGCAGCTACAACACCGTCCTTGGTTACTGAATCCAAGACGCAGGCACCCACTGAGGTTCCCTCTCGAGTGAATTGATCTCCGTGAGAAGCTGATTATACGCCCGATCAGTATCGTTGTTCAGGATGAGCATGTCAAACAAGTGGCCATACTTGTCTTCCATCTCGCGCGCTTTCTCGATTATGTCCTTCAATTCCTCCTCTTTGAAGTTCTCGTTATTCTTGATCCTCTTCTGTCTCAGCTTCTCGAGGCTCGGTGGTGCGATAAACACGACGTACGGCTTCAGATCCGAATTCCGCAGGATCTTGAGACTTTGGGGATGAAGGTTTAAGACACAGATTTTCCCGGAATTAACCACTGTCCTGATGGCCTCCACGGAAGTGCCGTAGTACGCCTTTTCATATTCGCCGTGCTCGACAAACTTTCGACAAAGGATATCGGACTCAAATTGAGAACGTGAAATAAAATGGTAGTCTTGGCCATCGACCTCGGAGTCTTTCTTCGGACGACTTGTATCTGGTGGTATAAAAACACGTTTTTATTTGTTTCAATTTTCTCTTTTCTTTGACGCAACTTCCGAAATACAATCGGTTGATAAAGCAAGATGGAATGGCACTTACGAGGAATCGCTGCGGCAAAACGTTCGCTGTCTTGCATCAATCTCTGCCTGAGTTCGTGTCGCCCAATATTGGGAGGTCCGATCAGTACAATTGGCCTTTTGTGATTTGCACGAGGATAGTATAAGGCGACTTCTTCGTACGTCAGCACCTCCTCGCTGTCGTAATCTGCGAAAAAGCATCTCGTTGAAACTGATACCTTTTCGGGGCGGAATCTGTAATCAAGTCGTCTATTTCTAACGTACCATCTATGGCAGTTGTCGCGTAAAGGGGGTACCCGTCATCATTGAAGCTCGACCCGAATTTGTTCCGCTTTTTCTTCTTTGGATTTTTCCTCGCGCACAGCAACGTGCTGGATTTCTTTGAGCCCCGCACTGTCGATTTATCGCCGGCTATCGTCTGCTTCATCGATTCTCGTCTGTGCAGATAGAGCGATAAAGACGCGTGTAAATTTGAATCAGGATAAGATATATATTCTCATGCTGCTCAATTGGAGTTTACTCACTGGTGCTGAAATGCTCTGCTAGGTATCAAGCCAGCTAAAGTTTGATCCTCTTCGCCTTCCCGATATGCTTGCCACCAGTTGGGATCCTCTTGAGAAATTACGTGAAGTACATCGCCTTTTTGGAAACTCACGCCCAACTCTCTGCACGGTATGTACGGATCTTCCTCGGGATCGTAATCGAAATGGGCTCGTATATGAATCTAAATATGGCATGTGTTTTATTTAGCTGCAAGTGTCACATTATACCACGAATCTATGTTTTTATATATCCATACATCGAAACTGGGACAGATGTGTGCGCACGCGCGTTCTGTTAACGTGGAGTTATACACGCGTAATTCTATGCGTGCAGCTTGCAAATATCAACGTCTCTTGTTTTACAGTCAAAAGAAGAAATGTCACATGTTCATACGTGTGTGGCATACGCTTTTGTACATTCGCGTGCGTTAACTCAGCCGATGCACAGTGAGCCCGCAAACACGTAGGTCGAGGGAACGTAGGCGGTAAAGTACCTTAAATGGTATTGACGTTTCCCCGAGCTACAGATGTACAAATCGTAGAAGCGTACTCCGAAGTAACAGATAATCGATGTTACTTCGTTGCTCGACGATTGAAGGGCAAGAATTATCCGCGCGTTTCTCTGACATTTGCTCTTTCATCCTCGTCGCGAAATACGACGATATCGGTTGTTCCAGTTGTACGGATGTATGTAGTCCGCGTGTTTCTAGTACAAGGATGTGCTAAATATATCAGGATATATAGCACGTGTGCCGTACCTGTGTCGTGTCCTCTCTTCTGCTGGATAAATTATTTCTGTGACTTGTCGGAGCCGGAAGTACCAAGAATGTGAGACTACCCTGCATACCAGCGAGGATATCGCAGACTTCATTGACGGTCTTGCCGCGCATTTCTACTCCGTTCACCTCGAGAACCTCATCGCCTTCGTGCAGGAGTCCCGACTTATGCGCCGCACCACCACGTACGACGCGTCCTAGAAAAATTATCCAAATATTATTACTAGTCAAAACGGCACGATGAAGAATCACGTAAATAAATCGTTGGCAAAGCGCTCCTCCGTGCTGAAAATGATGAATACAAAATAATAAGAATATGTATTCTATTCAGAGTCTGAATTTCAATGTAAATTAATCATCTTATTGATTCACACTGATTTAAATTGAAATTTAGGCTAAACCTTGTGCGATATAATGCGGATTTTGTAACCATCGTTTTAAATAGGAATATATTACATTACCTATAATCACCGCGTCCCCATCGTTTCTGACTGTAGCACCCAGAGGTTCGTTAGTCTTCTCGATCCGGATGATCTTGATATTGTCGACTACTCGAGAGTCTTTCCAACTGGTTGTAGGGCTGGGCGGGCCGCTGCGTGGCGAAGACGTCGGGCTCTGCTTCCTTTGCAAGCCGTCCACATACGAGACGATGGAGTCGTGCGCTAAAAGCAGAACTTCCATGTCGGTACTCGTTAGAATACTCGTTAACTCCCTCGCAGCAGCCATTGTCTCTGCTCCGCCCGCGACACCTGTTGCGGCCAACGTCGACTGCCATTTTTCTAGGATATCCACACACTGAAACATCAAACGGATGTCTAATCAACAGATCATTGCGCAAATCGAATTATGTAGCGAATCGAAATTCGAAGAGAGCTCATTGTCGGTTATTCCAAATTATAAAAAGTCAGGTGGCTCATTGTTACACCGCAAATTACAAATTTTACGTACATCCCGCGCCAGGCTCGATGCGTCGTCCACGTGATGCTTAAAAATTTTACTCGCTCTCAACCGATTCTTCAAGGTATGACGCGTCGCCAGGGCACTTGCAAATCGATTTTGCACCAAAAGCGTCCGAACTGCCTCGAGTTCGGCTTCGACACCTGCACCCGAAATACCAAGAGCACCTGAAATATTCCGCAGTTGAAGCTGCAGCCTCTCCAGTGTAGCAACGACCTCTCCATACGCTGAAATATGAAAGACATAATTTGTTAGAGACCTCCTCACGGAATCTCGTGTTACAGGCTTCGTTATTTATTTATATCGCGCGACGAATTGTGTGGAAAGAGACTTCATTTGATAACATGCACAATTTCTCCCAAATCTGTCGAACGTTGCTTTTCTGCCGACATAACCAACAGAATCAAATTTAAACGCTCCACAAATGAGATTCTCTTAAGAGACTGAGAGAGAAAGATAGAAACTAACGTAATAAATCGCGATACTAAATAGAAAAGAATTATAGATGTCAACGCTGTGATAAGATCACGGACTAATATCAATTTTTCTCAATCGTATTTACAGTTTTTCTCAATTTAGGGGGATTCACGAGAACGTATTTCACGAAGAAAAATGACTTACTGAGGGGTCTGGGAGGCTCCTCCACTTCTTGAACTGCATTTGGAGTAGCTTGCGTAATTCGACTGATGCTGGAGGTCACCTCATCCTGTGCGTAAGCAAGATTCTCTTGACCAGAGAGGCTCGTCGCGTGGCTCTCCAAAGCTTGCAGTTTCTTAGAGCCACGGAGAGAACGACTAAGTATTTCCTGCCTCTCTTCCTCATCTTTTCGCTTCCGTAGCTGCTCCTGTGTATGTGAGTGACATAACCGGGTAAACGATCCGTATACCACGAGATATAAAAAAGTTTAATGGAATTCAAATTTCATAGAAGATTTAACTCCTCTCTCTCTCTCTCTCTCTCGTATCCTGGAGACCGTCCAAGATTTCGAGAGTCTACCGGAGAGATGGCTGTTTGAGTATACAATATATTTCCGTAAAACAGTTTGTATTTCTTAAAGAATTCGACATATTTCGGCTTAAATGAATACATTTCGAGGGCGATCGTAATTGACGCGTGCAGTTTATGCGCGATTGTGGCTCGCGCAAAAATAAAGAGACCTTGAACGATATCAAACTCGACGATCGAACGTCTTTGTGAATATGTACCAGACCATAAATTATTCCGTAGCGGCTTATATCCAGAGAAGCGGTACGCTTTTAGTTCTTAGCGTCAACTAAATCCAGGAGGAGTACCATCATGCATTCTATGTGTAGATAATTCTTTCTTCTGTGTGCAGATAACGTTCTCCTGTGTACATATTCGTTACTTTCGGCAAAGTTCCTGTTAAATATCCTTTTGATAGCAACGACACGTAACATTTTGCCGAGTCTGATTGACGAAACATTTTTATCTTCGGTGAATCTGGTACTTTACCATCAAGCTACGTGAATTTGTCATACGAAATTGTGCACGAAAGGAAAAATTTGGATTAACTAGATATCTGGTGAAATAAGAACGAACCAGAATTCCGGTTGGCGTCATCAGAATTCTGCTCAAGTTTATCAAGATTCTGGTTAAACCAAACAAAATTTCTGGTTAATCAGAATCCTGTTAAATTGAATAGAATTCTGATGACATCAATTCTGGAATTTTGGCTCGTTCGTATTTCACCAGATATCTGATGAGTCCAACCCTAATGTCTTTTTCTGCGTGTTACTCGGCGATTCGCGATTTACGCCCACCAGCTGACAGAGTCAGCTGATAAGGCCAGTGTCAGTTGATGCGTTTAGAGACATCGTAAAATTACGAGATGCGTACGGTGGCTATGCGCAGTTGGCGATAAAGAATGTCGCACAGCAGAAGATACCTTCTCGTAATTTTCATTTATATAACGGACCCGGCGCGCTAGCCGTGTGATATTACGAGGATAGAAATATTTCAGCGAAGCCCTGTTTACCGCGACAGCGGACATAAGGTTTCCTGTGGAACCTGAGCTTGGTTTGCGCGCGTTAGACGACGGCGACAGCCAACGCAAAGCGCGTTAAAAATGTCGCGCGTGTAAGTCGGTAAGTCGTTAATGATTACAGCTTTGAGAAGGATTCCGATAAATCCCGGCTTTTAAAGGAAGAAAAAGTTCTGCTTTCCGCAGAACGTACGACGTGACGAATGTGCAATTTTTGTTCCAAGCGCGATTTAACTGCAACGCCGATTAATTCACAGCATTTTGTACGTCAATAAAATTTCGAAGAATCAATAAAATTTAATTTGCGAAAACTTGTAATTGGTGACATTTAGCATTGAAGTTGAAGACTCGAGAGAATTAGCGCGGACGGCATTAGCTGCAAATGTTACAGATACAAATTAAGGGAAAATGCGAAATGGAAATGTATAGATTATAGACGAGTTTAACAAAAAGTAGGAATCCAATTTGAAACATTCGCTGGTGGTATATTTCGGGATATCGAGTGAAACACGTCGGATTGGAATTCTAGGACGCCTGTTTGCTTGAGGCAGATCAAGAAGCTGAAAGAGAGAGGTCAGGGAAGAGATCCCGACGACAAAAAAAAAGAAAAAAGAAGGGAGGAAAGGGAGAAAGAGAGAGAGAGAGAGAGAGAGAGAGAGAGAGAGAGAGAGAGAGAGAGAGAGAAGGAACAGAGCTGAAAGAAGCAGCACAGGCCTGCGGAATCACCCTAGCGTCTACACCTATCGAAAGTTCGTAACGCTACAGTCGGGTCATGTAATCTTAGACTATTGTGTAGAAGGGTCCTTTACATTCCAGACTACACTTGACTCAGGGCAGGTAAAGCGGCGTGAGGATTCCATAAGATAAACATACTCGGTCCCGACGACGCCAGGCACGTAAGGTGTTCTGGCGTATCTCACGCTCACAGACACCAGCGATCGCATGAATTTCAAGCACCGACACTCGAAGCCGTTTCGGGGCTTATCTACAATTTTCTCAGAGCTCTCTTCTGGTCTTTCGGTTAACGAACTCAACGAAACGTACCAGAGACACTGACCATTACAACGCGCTCTCGCGCGTTCCCTACGCCGAGAGATAAATAATAATAAAACTCACGTATCCTTCTTCACGAGAATTGACGTTCGCTCGACAATTCCCGCTGTTCGACGAATCCCGGCGGAGAGGTGCCCGTGCGGATATGCCTAATTAATTAATTAATTTCACGTCGCGTCGCGCGGCTCATTTGTCAATCAAACTTCGGCCGGCGTAGGAAATTCGGAAACTATAGCGCAGCTATGTCCCACCGACGAGCTTCAATAACCATTGTCATCGGTTCGCAATTTCCTGTGCGAATGTTCACGTGACCAGCGAATTGTACGTCCTCTTAAATAACGATCTGTCATTTACTGCCTTCGCATCGTTACGCAACATGATCGCTACTTTCCCATACGAAATGCTCGCACGCTGCTCTCACATGGCTACACACGCAGCTTTCCACAGAGTCCCACCCCCTCCCCTCCACTTTTCCGCGCCTCGAATCGCCCACTAACGGTTTAATTCGATCATAGGGCAAAATCGTAAATTTCATCGTCGAGTGAGGTAAAAAAGCCGCTTTACGGTCGCGACGAAAGGCGTGATAGAATCGTCGCGGCGTTTTACGAGCTAGACCCCGCAGTTATTACGCAGTCAACCCCTCGAATATGCAAATACTCGTGTGGATCCCATTCCCTTTTTTTTACGGCAGTGTTTATTACGTCACTGCGAGAACGAAATGCTAAGCTCGGGGGAATTACTGATTCTGAGTCTGATTTATATACCGCGAGTCGTTTGCCAAATTATTCGTCTCCTCAAGGGAGGCGTCTTTGACCATCTTTGACTATAAGGTAAATCCGGGGGATATGGCGCGCTTTTTTATCTTAACATGGAAAAGTGGGGATAATTAAGAGTAAACGCTGGTTCAATAAAATCTTTGTTTAAGATAATGTGTGTTGTATCTTCCACTAGTTTGGGAGATATATTTATATCTAGTATCTTGCCATATCATATCATTCACCTCAGGGGGAGATATGACATTCAAGCATTGTTTTTAAATGTAAGTTTCTATAATAAAAAATGGTATAATTGCATCCTCGATTTTCCAACAAAGGAATAACATTCCAAAATTAATGGTATTGGTATTAAAAATTCTATTTCATAAATTAAAGTATGTTTTAAAATTAAAATTCAAAAGGGACGCCATGTCTTTCGGATTTACCTTGAAAGTACGATGTGAAAGCGTCACTTAGGTATCAAGTTTTGGACATTGTGTGTCTTTCCATTTTCATTTTTCCCGTTCCCTAAACGACACAGACATTCCGTCACGTTCTCGTTCTCTATGAGATTTATCGTGAGATTTGGCTTTCACAGTGTGCGCACTTTGCAAACGCTTATCGTGCTTACGTGACTCGGTGCAACACGATTGAGAGACGCCGATATTCTCGTCTTCTAACCTGATATTTCCTGATGGAGTGAAGCTGCTGCTGTGTCGGCTCCGCGTTGGCGTTGTCGCTGCTTTCGACATTATTGTTCTGTGTGGACAGACGCAGATTGTCCTTCGGCGGTCTGGCAGGTGCCCTCTTCTGGTCGCGAGGCGGAATGGCAGGTTTAACCCCGTTGAGACCGGCCTACAAATTCATTCCAAACAACTCGTGTTAATGGTCCCACGTGCTTGGCGTTGCGCAAACTACTTTGTCGGATCTTTCATTTCTTTTTGCTACTTTTTCCATATTTTTCTTGTTATTTTGCTTGTTATCTACTCATATCTCAGTCAAATCAAGATATACCTTACAGAGTCGCGACTCTGATCGCGACAGAAGGATGAGAAAGAGAGAAAAAGAGAGAAGAGAGCAAGCGAGAGAGGAAACTGATGACTGATAAAAAAGTGAAAGAGAGAGCAAGATGCGTGTGTTACAAGAAAGCATGTTGAAAGCAAAAATACCAAGAAGTAAAATGCCGTATTAGATGTTCCACATTCTTCTACACATGCTGTTCATTCCGTCCCTTGAACAGTCGTCTTTGCACTTTTCTCCTTTTCTCTTTACAATATACAACTTTTTCCCCGGAAAAAAAAATCGTTGTGCTGCACATTGAGATCTTTAATCCGCGGATAATCATATCTCTGGAGACCTACAGTGCGATCTGGCTCTATCGGGAAACTTTGAACTGCCATATCTTTGTTCAAAATTAAAATTTTTTATATATTTTTTCCAAAGATACGCCTCAGCTATAAGGTACACCGAGAAAAAAGTATTTAAAAATTTATGAAGTTTATATCCACAGAAATAAACTTTATACATCTTATAAATAAATATTCAAGTATTTTTTTCTCAGTGTAGCAGCAATAAAATCAAAATACATAAAATATACAAAATACATAAAATACACAAAATACAATAAAATCTGCATACATATTTTTTTGGAATTATCACAGACCTTTAGCGATCGAATATTCGTTCAGACCTTACAGGGCCAACACATTGTATGCGAAGAGTTAGAGAAAAGCGTACAAAATACAAAGATCACCATTCGAATTGTTCGTCGAGCGAGAGTCCTTGAAAACCAAGATAATATCTATTGCAGTTTACCTGTTCTTGAAGAGCGTCGTCGCTCATATCGTTCCCCATAGTGTGCGTCGACGGTCCCGATTCGTCCTGTTTCGTACATTTGTTAGAATTGTACAAAGCTACCGAATGGTGGCTCGTTCTATCCCGCTTTACGGCATACCACGAGGCCGAGATCTTCGATGAGTGTAAGTCAGAGTCGGAGAGAGAGAAGCGGATCATGGAGGTCGAATAATCGGCCATTAAATCCGAAAGGTCGGAATTCGAAGACGCGCATCTCAAAGTCGTTTCACCGGCGGAACTCTTGCGAGATCTTCCGGTACTGCTGGAAAACGTGAACGAGGCGTCCAACAGTTTCGAACACTGATGACGCTCGTCAACAGACAAGTTGGCATTTTTCAGACTCTCCGTATTCGGCGAATCGTGTTCGTCTTGGCACTGAAAGTCATTATCATAACGTTCCCGCCGTTCTTCGCTGTCTAGAGAGGAATCGTCGAGACCACGCGTATCATCGTACAGATATTTCGAGGGAGAGGATTCGCGCGAAGAATTTCGACAATTCTGATTTGTCTCTTGGACGAAGGAAGGAACGCTATCCGCGACTTTTTCAAGCGGGACATCGTCTACGAATGACATAGCACCCTCGGTGCTCTCTGTGGAACAGTTAGAGGAAGCGGCCTGTTCGGATTCCTTCTGAGAACCGAAAAGACTTTCCGAAGAGCCGACAATTTTGTCCTCGGACGCACAGACATTGCGCGATGTGAAATCGTCGAACCCTATTGAGCTATCGGAGAAGACTATCTTTTCACCGTCCAAGTGGAAAATGACCGACGGGTCCCGTCGGTATGGAGAAAACCGGCCATGGAAAACGGAGCAGACCCGACCGGTGATTCCCGACCTCTTCCGATACCTTTGACGCGGCGGAACGTCCTCGCGGCGGACGTCCTCCTGGGATGCGACGAAGGCGGGATTCAAGCGGCTGCCAGCCTCACCTGGAGCTCGTTCGAGCTCGTTCGAGGTTGACGCGCGAGTCTGCATTTCCGTAGACTCGAAGTCGATGTCTCGCAATTCGATATTAAACGAGTGCGGGGCAGATTCGTTAGAGGTCGGCACAAGCATGTTAGAGGGATGCGTGTTGAAAGCGCGAAGCGAATTGCGGTGCCAATAGCGTTGCTCGTGGTATACGACAGAGTGCAAGCCGTCGAGCAGCAAGCTCTTGACTCTGAGCCTTACCTTCTTGGCGTCGTGCTTACGGTCTACTGTACGCGCGACTACGATCTCTCTAGCGCTACCATCTGCACTAGACAACGTCGCGAGGCTATTATCGTTCAGGGAGAGACAGGGAGAGGCTACGAGCGTTGTCGTGCTTGTTGTTGTTGTTGTTGTTGTTGTTGTTGTTGTTGTAATCATCGTCGTCGTCGTCGTCGTCGTTGTGGCGCACACACTTGCCTCGGCAGCTACACCGCCGCCGCCGCACGCGAGATTACCCTCCTTGACGACGTTCTCGCGATCGCGCCTCGGCTCAAGGGTATTGTGCTTGCTGTTGCTAGGAGTTTTATTAGGCGGTGGGTATACAGGGTGGCACTTGGTAACCGGCACGAAATCTGGCGGACAGTCTACCGCCACTTCGCGGTAAGCTTTGCCGCCCACCACGAGGAAGCTGCGATCCGCGGTGAGCTCGAGATCGCCAGATGCTTCACTCCTCAGCGTGGAATAGCCGCTGGAGATCTGCTGATGCCTCTTCTTCTTGGGTCGTTGTCGAGACGAGGAGGAAAGATTGTTCAGCTCGATGCCGATCAGATCATCGGTCGAGCCGGCGCGGATCAGCTCCTCGATGTCGAGGCTGCGCGTTTTCGCCTTAATTTTCGCTCGCTCGTCGTTCTGACGACGTTTCGAGCTCTTGGCGGGTTTGCCCGCCACCTCTGCTTGAGCGGACTCCGTCTGCTGATCCTTAGCGCGGGCGGGCGAGGCCTTATCCTGATCCTTCGGTATCCTCGGGATCGAACATTGCTCGTCTATCAACCTGGTCAGGTCTGAGACTTCGTCGGAGCGCATCAACAGCCCTTGAAGGTCTTGCAAGTCCGTCAGTCCGTATGCCGGGTTGTCGAAGGACGTCGCGTCCCGAGTACGACCAAAGAGCGGGGCTACTTTGATATCAGGTACCACCGACCTGCACGGAGAGCCGAGATCTATCCTCCTTACGTCGTAAGTCGGAGAATCTTTTCGATTCTTACCGGATTTGAGCATCAGGCTAGTGTCGAGGGGCGCAGTACTGTCCGATCTGCCCGAGGAGCTCCTCGGGCTCGCGGAATCGTCGCTGCAAGTCTTGAGCATGGTGGGGTAATCCTCCTTGGCGAAGGGATAGTCGTCCTCGACGTCAACGCTGGACTCTTTCTGCCCGCCCGCGTCTTCGACGGTGTTCTCTTCCTCCTCGAAATCCTCAAAGGATTTGCTCTTCAAGTCCGGAGACCCGGTGACAGTCGGGTTTTCGTGATATTTGTCGAGGCTCGAGTCCTTTTTAGCGGCTCTCACCTTCTCCTCCTCGTCCTCGATTTTTAGCTCAATCTTCAGCATGGACGGCTGAAGACCGTTGCGAGTGTTGATCGTCGTCGTCGTCGTCGTCGTCGTCCTAGCGTTGTCGGTGACGTCCGTGCAGTCGTTCGATATGAGTCTAGCGCGTCCGTCCGCGATGGTGCGGGTTTTAAGGGTCTCGTTTTTAAGGTTAAGGGAGAGGTCGAGGTCGCTAGCGCTACGGGGACGGTGCTGTAGCCCGTTCCTATAATCGGAAGAGCGATTCTTTACCTTATTGGGATAGGCCTTCTGTAGAAGGGTGTCGGGCACATCAACAGGTAGCTCCCGATGATGGCCCAGGGCACCAGGGGCCCACATCTCATCGGGCCCCAGTCCCTCTTGCGGCTTCTTTGCGTCGCGCGAGCTGCTGTTGTTGTTCTCTTGCAACTGTTGCTGCTGTTGCTGAGAGTGTATGTCCGTCACGCCACTACCGCTACGCCTTCGGGACCTGAAATGAGAAAAAGAGAGCACCACGTTAGCGAGGTGTCGCTATTCAATTTCCGCTCGCTTTCCCACTTTTTTTTTTTTTTTTTTTTTTTTT